GCTGAGGAGAGAGAGCTGACCTGCAGCAGGAGTCAGGTTATGGAGGAGACGAGGAGCTGGAGGTCAGATTAAGGAGCTCCTTCATCTCCTCGCTGCCCATTAGCAGGGACTGACCCTTCAAAATAAGAGCACGCAGACTGTTGGTAATCTGGTCATGTGAGGGAAACACTGACACGTGACAGAGTATTGATTTATGGATCAATCCGTTCATTAGTAACAGAATAATGAGGAGCAGATGAATAAACAGCGGCCATGTTTTCATTTTGTTGTAGTTCACCTGCAGGTTCAGGGTCTGACTGAACGTCCCACAGAGGACACGTCTGATGAGCGGACGCCGCGGCGTACGTTGATTAGTGTCATCTACGCTGTCACTGTTTATGTCTCTGTGACATCATCACTTCCTGTGGGATTAATAAACAGAGTTGTTCAGGTGAAACTCAGACAGGTGAGGCTCCTGCTGTGAGGTCACAGGTCAGCTGACCTCCCCCCCTCCCCCCTGTGTTTCAGAGAGTTTGTGGAGCAGAACTACGTGACCCTGAAGAGGTCCAACCCGGAATTCCCCATCCTGATCCGGGAGTGTTCTGGAGTCCAGGCCCGGCTCTGGGCCCGATACGGTGAGCCCCCCTCACGCTCCGCATCATGTCACCTGTGTATTGACCTGTTATTGATCCCTGTCTCTGTTCAGATTTTGGGAAAGAGACGAGCGTCTCCGTGGAGAACATGTCAGCTGATCAGGTGGCCAAAGCTCTGCAGACTCTGGCTCAGTCCAAGCCCTGACCCCCGTCTGAGCCCGCAGTGGCTCAGTCCAAGCCCTGACCCCCGTCTGAGCCCGCAGTGGCTCAGTCCAAGCCCTGACCCCCGTCTGAGCCTGCAGTGGTTCAGTCCAAGCCCTGACCCCCGTCTGAGCCTGCAGTGGTTCAGTCCAAGCCCTGACCCCCGTCTGAGCCCGCAGTGGTTCAGTCCAAGCCCTGACCCCCGTCTGAGCCCGCAGTGGTTCAGTCCAAGCCCTGACCCCCGTCTGAGCCCGCAGTGGTTCAGTCCATTCACTCGCCTGTTTTTGTTTCTGTAAATGTGCTGATGTGAATAAAGTGAACATGTGAAGGTCTCTGTTTACTGTGAGGTCACTGGGAGGGCTTCTGTGGGTTTACTGGGAGTTTACTGACACATCCAAAGTCTTTCCTGAGTTAAAGTCAGATTATTTCACAGGCTGTTTATGTTGAAATTAGCAATAAGAAGTTTAATTTGCTCTTAGTGGGTTTAAAACGAGTTTCTTGGGAGCATTTAACTGGATTTCAGATATTTTTACTCTGAGTGTATAAATGTACAGGAAACTAACTGATATTTTAGGAGGATCATGTAGTTTAACTGGTTTTAAGGTTTCTTAATGGGAACAGACTCGGTTTCATTGCCTCTTGGCAGGTTTATGTGGTTTTACTGGATTTAGAAGGTTTGTTTGGGTCTGACTGGTTTAGATGGTTCAGGCTCAGTGAAACAAACACTTTGCTGGTTATCTGGAGTTTGTTGAGTGAAGCTGTGTGAGTCCTGAAGGTGGCGCAGCAGCGAGCACCAGCTGGTCCTGGAGAACCTTCAGCTGTGGCTCTGCTGACCTGCGGGGGGCGCTGTGAGCCAGAGAAACAACACGTGACCGGGCAGGAGAGCTGCGGTGCTTCAGTGTGTGAGCTGTGAATAAAAACCTCAGTGACGCAGAACAAACCTTTCCTCCATCAAATCAAAGAACTCCTTATTTAAACTACATGAACATGATCTTTAAACACAGA